ACCTCCACAGGATGCAGGGCCTCCTGGCTCCGTTCCCCCGGGCCTCGCGAGAAGAGCCCAGCTTCCGGCCCCGCCTCATCTCCCAGATCTCGCGGTATCACGGCTGTCCCGCAGGAAGGCGGAGCGACGCTCCCGGCCCAGTGGGAGTGCCGCCCAAGGCTGGTTCGAATCGAGTCCTGGGCGGCGGGTCGCGGGGAGCGCTGTCAGAGTTGGGGGCGACACTCTCCCTCCCAAGAGGTGCAAGAGGACGGGGTTTAGGCCGGAAGAGCCTTAGAGGAGCCATTTTCCAGGTGGGGCTCCAGACAGACTCTGGCAGGGAGACCGGCCACCAGTCCCGCAGCCGGCCTGGCGGACTGGGTGCGGTCCGAGCCCCCCTGACCGCAGCTGAACCCGCCACCCCTGCTCCCTGGAAAGGAAAGGGGCGGGGAGGAGAGGTTGGGAGCCCCAGAGGTGGGGTGGCAGGATGGGGGCTCCTTGAATCTGTCCCTCTCCTGCACCCCTTTCTCACACTCACGTGCCGCCCACCCCCTGTCCCACTGGGGCACCGCAGCTGAGAATGAGCGACGGTGAGCCCTGACTTAGCTCTAGGTCCTGTTGGACGAGCTTTACAGGACAGCAGCCCCGGGTTACAGAGGAAGAAACAGGTATCTAGGTAACGTCTGTTTTCACCCAGTCCCTGCCCGTCAGGTGTGGCCAGCAGTGCTGGGAACACGACCACATTGTTTGTGCTCTGGGGACGAAGAAACTGTGGCTGCAGTTAAAGGGCTGTTCAGAGTTTACTCAGACAGAAAATAACGATGTGGTTCCTGCTCAAAGGGAGTTGATAATTTAAATTTATAAGTTAAATTTAAGCTTCATTTCCCCCCTCCCCCCTGCTCTTTCCTGGGCATACAAAGGAGCCTTGCGGTCAGAAAGTTCAGAGTCAAGTGGGGCAGGTAGATTTGCTGCAGTTTGTTGCCTTCAGAGAGAAATGCACAATCCCAGGGTGGGTTGGTGGGGAAGGGCGGGGCGGGTGTGTGTGTGTGTGTGTGTGTGTGTGTGTGTGTGTCTATGACTAAGCCTGCTTGGAAGCGGTTAGTTAGGAAAGCAATTGTGTGTGTGTGTGTGTGTGTGTATCTATGACTAAGCCTGCTTGGAAGCGGTTAGTTAGGAAAGCAAAGATTAAAAGAACAATTCCCATTCGTGCTAAAGACAAGGTAGTGCATGGTGACTGGTTCACTATTTCCTCCCTCCCTTCCACTTGTTTATTGAGCTGCTAAGATATGCCAGCCCAGTCTTGGAGCGGGGTGTTCCACTATGAACAAGATCCACGCATTTTATGCCTTTAAGACACTCAGCATCTAGTGAGAAAGAGAGGTAAATGGCAAGCAGCATGATGTGGGCAACACTAGGAGAGTTATGAGGTACCGTGGGAACACAGAGGCGGTGTATCTAACCCAGATTTGGGGTGTGGGTGGGGCCCGTGTGAGAGAGGACCTCCAGAGGATGAAACATCTAAGCTGAGAGATGTACAGGAAGGACTACTCAGTGGGCCGATTCAGCTCCAGAGGAGGGAGAGATCCTTGCCTGGACATTGGAATTCTCAAAGGAGAGGGCACTAAGAGCTGGACCTTTTACAATGGAAAGTGTTTAAAGGAGGAAAGAGCCCAAAGAAAACCCTGGAGGTAGGAAAGCCTAGGCCTATATTCAGGGGACAGTGAATAGATAATTTCTGATGGAATGGGGATGAGAACAAGCAGTGTCCTCTATCTTGCCACTGACCAAGTTCTCTGGTTAATTATTTACCTTTGTCTTACCACTAGAACTTTGAGCACCTTGAGCCAGGTATGTCTTTCATCTCTGTGTCTTTATTGTCCAGCATTAACCAGGCTGAGAGTGATGCTTTGAACTTGGGGAGAGTTGAATGGTTTTACATAAAGCTGGAAAAAGCAGGTTGGAAAAACCAGATTGTGTAGGACCTGTGAACATTAGCTGAGAAGTTTGTATTTTATTTCTTGGGAAGCAAGTGTTTATCAAAGGCTTTTCTGTTGCCACCACAAACTGTGAAGATTAGACTGACCTGGGCATGCTAAGGGCTTCAAGGGGAAAACGTGGGGGCAGGGAGATTGTGTAGGAGGCTATCTTATGAGATCAAGATCTGAGCGATGATGGTGTTCATAGAAATGGAGAACATGGGGCCAAAGAGGTAACAGTCTTAAGGGCTTAAGAAATGAATGGAAGGAATGTGGGAAATCAGCCGGAGAGAAGTATATCTGTATAGAAATGGAATTCAGGGGTTGTGTGGAAGGTGAGCTGGCTAGAGAAAATGAAGAGCTCCATTTAAGATGGGCTGAATTGGAAGTGATAGTGAGTTGTCTATATAGAAATAACAGTAGACAGGTGGGGAGTTACTTCTAAGAAGAAATGTGGGATTGAAACTCAGGAGAGAGGCCAGGCCTGAAGTCATCCCTCTCAAAGGGAAAGTTAAGGCCATGAGAGAGAAGCTAGAATCACAGATTCTCAGGCTCACTCCCACAGATGGGGCTCAATACCCTCCCCATCCCTGCCAAGTTAGCCCTGTCTTCATCTCCACAACAGCTCACTACCTCCCAAGTCCTTTACTGGGGCCATTCCAAATAACTTGACAACAAAGCTGTCTTTACAGTCAGCTCCTATCTGCTTCCCTTTAAATCCCAAGATTGTTCGTAACAGTCTTAACAGCTGCTGTATCAAGCATTGACTGTGCCAGGTACTATGCTCTGCTTCGCCCATGTAACTTTTCACTGAACATACAGGTCTGTATTCAAGAAGCCGAATGCATCATAAAACAGATTTATGTCTTCATTCACACTCTTTCTTGAAATATTCGGTTGCCCTTGGATTACTTCTAGTCACCAGGACAGACTCATTGCAATAGCCTAAATGTATAGTTCACATTAATAGTAAAAATTCTGAATTTGATTCAAAATTAAAGCAACTCTCCTCTAGCTTTCGTTAGGCTTCTACCTTTCCAGAGGAGGGTAGTTGACTTCTGTATTTCTCCATCTTGCTTGCTCATCTCCCCTGTACCACCACACCATGCAGACTGAGGCTTCAGACCCACTAATATTGGTGGAGGGGGATGTAAGAGTAGAGATGGGGCAGGAAAGGTCCCTTTGTCATGTGGCATTAGTAGTCTGTGAGCTTGATGAGAGTTTACCTGATTCTTTCCTCCATGCAGTGCTTTTGTGGGTCTCTCTTAACTGCAATTTCCTTGACCTAGGGGTTACACTTGTCTTGCTGCTTTCAGTTGCTCCCTCAGCCCCTGGTTTCGGGAATCCTATGCAATTGATCCCTTAGCCCTCCAGGTCACTCCTCCTAGGCAAAGTCCATTTAACATAGCTTCTAGTTGGCCCTCTCTCCTGCCTGGGACACATCTGGTCTATAGGGAACACTAATGCATCTTTTGCCTCAACAAATTATAAGGGTACAGACCATTTCAATGCAGCTGCCTCAGACTTTTCCAGGCAAGGGCCTACCACCAGCTTCTGTGCCTGGATAAGCTTCAGAGGGCACAGTCCAAGCGATTATAGTTTCATGAATTGTGAATGTTTGAAACTTGTGTTTCAAACTTGTGAGACATGGATTTTGAAAAAAGAAAGAAGGGTGCTGAAAGGAGGGGGCTAAGGGGAAATGAGGAGGGGGAAGGATTAGGTCAAAGGATGCTTATCTCTCTGGGAGAAAGCTGGAAGGGTAGTCAGGGGCAGTTGGAGGGGGAGCGCCTTTCATACCCAGTGTCTTTAACCTTTCCAGGTAGAACTAGAAAATTATAGAGAAGTTGCTCAATGAGGACTCAAGGAAGGTGAGGAGGTTTGTATAAGAGTTGTAGGCCTTGGGAAAATCCTGGACAAATGAGAAATGATGAAAAAAGGATTCACTGGTGGTTATGGGAGCCAAGCGGAAGTTCTGTAGTGTGTACTTTCTGTGTGTCCAAGTTCTCATCGTTTCCTATGCCCAGATCCCACACGAAGATCATGGACATACAAATTGGGCTGCAGACTCATATCCATATACACACCTGTGTATTCACATCTTTTTTCTTTAAATCCTCACCTAAGGATATTTTTCCATTGATTTTTAGGGAGAATGAAAGAGAGGGAAAGACAGAATCAAACATTGATGTGAGAGAAATACATCAGTTGGTTGCCTTCTGCATGAATCCCAACCAGGGCCTGGGCCCGGGAGGAGCCTGCAATCAAGGTACATGCCCTTGACTGGAATTGAACCTGGGACCCTTTGGTCCACAGGCTGACGCTCTATCCATTGAGCCACACTGGCTAGGGCTGTATTCCCATCTTTGAACACATAAACACATATATCTACACAGGGGATTTATTTTTAGTTTTGATTGTCATATATGATACAGTATACCAATCTTAAGTGTTCAGTTGGTGGGTTTTGTCCATTTATACCCTTGTAACGTCCACCCCAAACATGCGACAGAATATTTTCATTCCAGAAAGTTTTCTCATGATTCTTTTCATCAGTTCCCCAAGACAGCTACTTCCTGTCACCATAGATTCATTTTGCATGTTCTTCATTGTATATTTTTATACACAATATACAAATACATTGATACCCACCTTGCCCTAATCCCACATGAAGACAAGCCACACATATCCACATATACTGACCATTTTGTACCTTAGGCTTAGACGTGTTTATGAGCTATCAGATGCTTGCTATTAGGTCACATATTGTATAATAACCTAGTTTCTCTTCAACCCTAAAATCGTACCTCAAGTGAAATATTTTAAATCTTTCCTTTCAGAACCTTGGAGCTAAAACAAAGAGAGAGGTGGTAATCATTCCACCTTGCATGATAGTTTTCTTTATTTTCCTCTAGGGTATTGGAAAATGGGGACACATATTTTAAAACAGCACCATATTTAGATAGATAGATTTAACTTTTAGTTGTGGCCCATTCCTGCTTAAAGTCAAAAGGATTTGACTCTCCAAGATACATTCCAGTAGAGCAACTATAAGGTTATGGACTGGCAGAGTAGAGGCAGCAGGAAGCTGCTAGCAAAGGGTTCCCAAGAGCTTAGAGTCACTGATGGTGATAGAGCTAAGTCAGGAACAAAACCTTCAGTCTTCCAGACCAGTCAGAGGTCAAGGAAGTGAGAGAAAAGCTGAGTCCAGAGCCTGGTCAGGGCCGAGGACCCATGTAAGGAGCAGAAGGTGAGGCCTAAGCCCATCAAAGAGCAGGGGAGAAACAAGTGCTGGAGGCAGAGTTGGAGGAGGTGAGACCAGACATGGTGGCCACAGCTTTTGGGAGATGGTGTTGCAGTTCACCAACCCTTATCTCCGACAACTGATTTGCTGCATAGGTAGACCTGTCAACTTCACAAGACCACTAGGTACCTCTCGGATGCAGTGAGCCTAGTTTTGGGGACATGGAAGTGAAAGTAAGATAGAAGATAAGGGATAAGGATGTGAGCAGCTGGGTCTAGACTTCACGCCCATACCTGATACTTCTAAAATACAGAGATACTGGCAATCACTAATAGGACCTGTTGCCCCTCTGAAACAAGAGATTTCCGTACCACTTCTGTATCCTCTGAAGCTCTGGGATATTGTGGCCTGGGACTATGACCTCTAGCTTTCAAGGTTCAGGCACAGGAAG